CTGTTATGCCTCCTGCCCTTCGTGTATGTGGCAAGCATTCAAATGGCCAACAAATCTCCGGCAGACAGATGCCAAATAACATCCAATGTGTTTCGAATCTGTAAACGTGCGATTCAGATTACTTTGTGAAATGGCTTCACTAGATGCAAAACCAAATCATTTCACAGAAATGCTGTCAATTGATGACTTCAACTAACACTGAAAATCAAGGACTTTCAGTTCAATTTGACATATTCATGGATTTGACTTTAAGGATAGTTGAATGAGTAAAGATTTTAGCAAATTCATTGCTAGGCAAGCGTGAATATTACAAAATTTTAATTTTATTTAATTCAATTCCTAGAAATCCTAAAAAAATCCTATCAATATCACCAAGTGTATTACATCCGATATATATTATATAATATAATGTATTGAGGCAGTACCATTTAATTGACATTGATATAATTTTCATTAAAATAAATATTTTACCTTAATGTCTGGCAACATAAAAGTATTAAACTCTTAATAGCCTCGTACCATAAATGATTTCAGCTTAATAAGCAGTGGAAATATGCTTTATTTTTTCACTAGATCGTTTTTTGAATCACCTGTGCATTCCCTGGATTACTTGTGACCTCAATCAAAGTTATTTTCCCTAAAATTAAATTAAAGCATAGTTAAATGGTCCAGAATGTGCTGTTTAATCCACTGTTTGTCCCTTTACCCCCCGGCTAATTTAACCCTCTGGTTTGCTGCACACTCTGCTGACAGCCAAATCCACACGAAAGATAATAAAGCGAACCAAACCGTAGCAAAACCAACTTCGAATGGCAACTCACTCCCTCGAGATTCACGCTACTTATTTTAATTGCTCAACATTTTTCAAAAACTTTCTGTGCTCGCACATCGGCACGCACATTCGTACTCGTATCCATGTGCTTTTAGGGGCATTTGCAGTTCGCAGCTTAATCGACTGATTTAGAAGTTTATTGCATTCTGGCATCTCGGGGAAATGGAGTTGGCCACGAAGGTATTTAAAGGCTCCTCTGCGTGCTCCGTGCCGGGAACTCCACTTCATTTGTGTCTCGCCCGTCGCCGGCTGGCAATATAAATGGACTTCCGTGCATAAAGCGGATAATGCCGGAATGAACGGCCAGACAAAGCGCCACTTCAAATTGCGCCTGAATTTATTGGCCTGCATTTAAATGGCCGACAATTGCGAACGCCTTACTGCGACTTGGTTCCATCATAAATGCACTCGGGAAAATGAGAAATCGGTGTTCAAATAATATATACAATCTTGAGTAAGGTGTATCAAGAATGAAAATACTTAACATTTGGTACCAACTAATCTTAAAATGTAATCATAATATTATAATATTTACATACTTTTACTAAATCCAGAAAAAATTGAGAACGAAAACAAGCCATGATCATAAGATCTCAATTTGAGAATTCATCTTCTTACTTATTTGAGAACAAACTTTTTTAAAATCAAGAAGAAAGTGTTCTCAATTTTGTTGGATTTTGACATAAAAACGATTTTGGCTTACATTTGAGATAGGCAGAACAGTTATGAAAACCGGTTTCCTTTCGAATTGTATTTTTAAGTATATTTTCCAATTTAAAATAAGGAAGAGTATTGTTTTTCTTTGACTGCACTGAAGTAATTTTCACGCAAACTGCTACGCAAAATGCAGACCGCAAATGTGCGGCAACTGGTAGCTGTTGTCCTTGACCATCGCATGAATAATTGCGCAGGACGAGTACCAGGATTGGCCGTAGTCCTTGCGACAATGCGTACAATTAAGCAAAACCGCAAAAATCACACAATTTATGCAGCAGGCGCAGCATATTAATGGCTGCTTATTGAGACGACAACATGGAATGTAACGAAATTTGCATTAAAACTGATTTATGCATTTGTCGTTGCGGTCGTTATTGCCGCTGTTTTGACTCTTGTTTCAACCCGCTTTTCCCGCCTACTGATGCCACACAGGCACATGGGAAATTTGCATAAATTTTGCGCAGCCAAATGGCACTTTTATTATGTACTTCGGTTGGGCATCAAATCGGCGACATAAAGTTTGAGGGCGGTACTTCGCTCAGAACTGCGAGAAAGTGGTTAAATTAACAACAACTGTCTTAAAACATAATTTTATCATCCTTGAAAATATTTTATTAACCAAGGAAGCCTTTTTAATGTTGATTAACTAATTTTATTAATACTTTTTACGAATTTTTTAGTTTAAGCCTCTTTGCAGATCATGAGTTGAAGTTTACCTACAACTTTAAAGAGGATTTCAATCTTAAAAAAAAATTAACGCCGTATTCATACCAAAATATTCATTGCATTTATTTATTTAACCATTTCCATGTCCAATAAAATAACAATTAATTTCCTTTCTTTTTTCCAACGCTTGGAATAACCACTGGTGTTGATGACAATTGATTTTTTAAACCGTTTCATCTTTCAAAGCAATTAATCCACCACAGACACCGTTTAAACGATTATCAACTACCGAAAAGCATGCCATAAAATCTTTTACAAGCCTGGCATTTATTTTTACAGAGGGAATAACACCGCAATCGTTATGAAACCCGAGAGTTTCCGATTAAATTCAATTTTGCCATCAACATTCTGCTTTAATGTGCGCACACACATACGGCTATTGAACATACCACATGTGTATTGCCCGGTGAAATTAAATTCTTTGTCATAATTATTATTTATTATAATTTCCGCAACCACTCACATGAGCCAGTTGACTCTGAGAAGCTTGGGATGCGTTAAATTTTTAATGTTTCCGAAATGTAATTAACTTCGGAGCGGCAACTGCCTTGGGCTCGAATGGCTGAAAAGAGCTGAAAAGTTGCCTCACTTTTTTGGCCAGAACTTAAACACTGTTTAGGACATTGAAAGCTCGTTGGCCGGCATCAATATTGCATGGGCGATGGCATCGATAGAAGCCGGAATGGCACTCACCTTGAGTCCTGTGTCCGACACACGGGGCGTATGATTGTTTTCCCGTGTCAACACAACGTGTCTCCACACCGGATGGGCTTTCCCTTCCATTCCTTTCACTTTTCCCACTCACTCTCGCTTCTATTTCCCCATTTCTCGTGTAGCCAGTTAATGGCTTTAATGCGATTACACGACATCGGCCCTGTGCGCTCGCCTTACGACTTCCCTGCTGAAATGCTCGCCAAGTTCCACTGCCACACGGCAGCTTCATTAGCTTTAAAGGCCATTAAAGCATTCATCTGGGTAATGGAGTAGCTCACCTCATAAAGCATTCATTCAGTATGCCAGCCCAAACAAAACGGGGCCAGGCCAAAATAAAGAGAACTGAATCGTGAAAGCGGAATAAAAAGCTGCAAAAAAAAAGTTCACCCAAAGAAAATGCAAATTGCAAATTCCAGATTTAATTTCGTTGGCAAACAAAAAGCATTCCATTAGATTTACTCATAAAATTCCAGATTTCTAGCAAGATATAATCTGATTAGTTCCCAATCGTCGCAGAAAGGTTCGGGCAAGTAAAATCAATTGGTTTTATGGTATTATATGGTTTCCGTTTAAAAAACACTAAAATAGGCTTTGTTTGGTAGCTTTAATGTTTTTTGTACCATGATATCTTATAATAACCAATGTATTTTAATTTTTAGACATACAATACACTAACTGTAGACATAAAATGGGACAGATAATTTGGAACATAATAAATGAACAGATTAGTCGTCATCGACATCATCGTAGCGATAATAGGGCCCAACCTGCTTGGGTTCAGGCAGATAGCCGAAATGGGTCCTCAGGAACTCAAGGCCCAGGAACAATAATACGGTATGCGGCATTAATCGCATTAAGGAGGGCGTATAGCCCTTGAAGAAGGCCAGTGGACCCTCTCTAGAGGTTTTAATAAACACATCCGCCAGACCGGAATATTCGCCAGGGGCAGCGTTCATCCGCCGGGTCTTGACCACATCGATCGGCTGTGTTAATGTGGTGGCCACCGTGGCCGAAATGATCGAAGCGGTGATGTAGGTGCCCATATTCTCCGGCATTCCCAGGTGCACCAAAGAAGACTTGCTCTGCTCGTAGAATGCGATCTGGCCCACGGTCATCAGCATTCCTCGCAGAGCAGTCATCGAGGACCCATTGAACAAACTGCGCCAGCCTTCTTCTCGAGTTATGCGAACTAGACCGTCTATAGCATGTTTGTAGCTAAATAGAAGGGATCAATATATTACAAATTTGGAGCTGCTAAAAATACCATAAACCTTTTAGATAGTCTTAACAGGGCGTTAATTCCGAGTTTTTTGTAGTAACAATTTTAAAGGTTTAATAATATACAGTTATGGTAATATAATATTAAAATACTTAAAAATGTTTAAAATTGTTTTGGCTAAAAATATAAATATCTCTTACTTGCGCCTCTTTTCCTGGGGCAGCTTGACATCGTTCTGCAGGCGGACGTTGATCAGGTCCGCAGGAGCACCCACGTATCCACCAATTCCTCCGGCAATCGCCGCTAGGAGCGTTTTGCGTCCCATGGTGCTGGTGTCCATCATGCCAGAGCCCACTGTATAAATTCCAAAACGTGACAAGGTGTACGTGTATTGACGCAACATCGAAGCCGATATTCCATTATACAAAGCCAAAACTCCTTGCTCGCGTAATATCTTTTGAGTAGTCCGCACCATCGACAACTTCTCCGCCTGTGTCTGCATGAGCACCTTCATCAGATCAATAGGGTGTGTGATGAGGGCGGCTATAGAACTAGCCACGCCCCCAAAGTACCAGCGAGCAATGCGCTTCTGATTATAGGACATCAGTCCAGTCCTCCTGATCGACATCTTGATGGTTTTATAAGCTAACTTTTTACACTAAATTTAGTTTAAATATTAAACACGAGATCTACTTGTATGTTGTGTATGGGAGGAAAAAATAAAGTAAAGTGCCCTAAAAGTTACGAGTTGAAAGGCAGGGGTAGTATGATTGTTATGGAATTTTAATCGTAAGGAAAATCGGAATATAAAGTCAACGTAAATTAGAATTTGGAGCCAAATCATATTGCTTCACATAAATCCGTTGATTATGGATTAAATGTAGTAAAAATTAGGTCGGCCCTTCGAAAGATCCTGGAAAACCCGTTTATCATAATCGAAAATGTTATTATATTTTATATTACTCACCCCCATCCTGTATAACATCGGAATTGTAATTAGACCTCCGCCAACAAGTATAAAGTCCAAAAACCGTTCTCTAATCACTTCGGTTAGCGTGTTCATATACATGAAGATGGGAACAGTTCCCACAATTAAGCAAACATTTAATATTATCACCATTACAATAAGTCTTAGGGCTCTGATAGGATCATTATTAGTTGGAATATCATCTGGAAAGAGTCAGCGAAAGTTAAGCAATATCCTAATATGAACCCAGACTCACCTTGTTCTATTAAGTTTATAGACTCTGGTAGCCCATTCTCGATGGTCGACAGTTCCATTGCAAATTTCTGGTCCAACTTTTGATCCATTTAAGTAATTTAAATAGCTTATTGTATATGACACTCAATGCAAGGCAACTTTGTATGTACTGAAGTTTTCATAACATAAACGTTATTAATGTAAAACATCTTATTCCATTGTACGTTATAATAAAGGTATTGTGTTACATCTTATGACCTATAAAGTACACAGTGTACATTTCCACTAGTCCAAGTTGGAAAGCGTTTTCTTGTCACATTATTCACACCTGATTAGCCAGAAGGCTGCTACTCACTTCCGGCCACAAGAACAAGGCAAAATGAAACAAAGCGACCTCGGCACGCAACAAAGCCCTCGGAGAAACGCCTCAATCACGCACCTCTGATTATGCTAATGGATCTGAACCACTGTTGTTTCATAAATATTTTGACAGCTCAAGCACCGGAAACGGACGCTTGAAATTGTCCACAAGTGCCTGTATTTTAATTGGTCATTTGGTTTTGACAGCTGGAAGCTCGGGCCTACGGGCTATGGCCACTCGAATGGAAGGCTCAACCGCTCTTTAAATATAAATAAACCTGGTCCGGAAAGTTATTATTTAGCCAATACGGAAACACATCAATTCAGTTGGCAGACCATTAAAGTTGGAGAATTGGGCAGCCTGAAGGAGGGGCTAAATATTTTTTGGAATGCAATAAAACTGGCAGAAACACATTTTCGGGTTATTGCCTCAAAAGCCAAATACATTTTATGCCCGCAGACAAATGGGTTATATTTTCTGCGAATAAAATGCACAGTCCAGTCCACCAGATTTGTAGAAGCGGCTAAATTAGGTTTCAGTTCGATGGCCAGGCAAATTGAATGTTATTTCTGTTTATGTCTCGTTTAGGCAACAATTCAGCGGACTTTCAATTCGCTTGCCAACCAAATCACCGCTGATGGATTGGATTTTAATTCCGGTGCAGATGTCAGCGAGCGCACAAATATTTGCAATCCCAGCCAAATTGTCGCATTGCGTTGGATTTTGTTTATTTTTCATGTAATTCTATTTTGTGGTTTTGCTTAACTGAAATGCCAGCTCACGTTTATTATTTCACCATAATTGGTTTTAGCTCGAAAATGCCATAAATATAATTATCGGATTGTCAAATAGTTGTAGTAGACCACCCAAAACGAAAGTTAACTGTGGAAACTTTTAAATGCCCAAAATCTTCATAAACTTTATTGGTTTTCTGGCCAACTCGGTGGGGAGTTTAGCCTTAGTTTAGAAGTTAGATATAGTAATTCATTTGTTGCTGCAGCACTGGTCCTTGGGCCCATTCTTGCAGACGCACTGGCAATCCTTGTTGCAGGCGCAATTGTCCCCGCACTTCTGCCCCGAACACTGGCAATCTGTTTGGAGAAATGGAGAAAGCTTGTCAATTACTCGGCTTGCTGCTGTTTCGTATCACTTACTAGTTCCACATCCCTTGCAAACCATTTTGTATGTAGGTAGGTATATGTATCTCTGACTTTTACTTGGCTGAGGAAGTCTGAAGTTCACTTGCTTGCTTGTTGGCTATTCAACTGATGACCCAATCCAGCAACTCCCCCTCTTTTTATACCCATTTGGATTGGGTTCGCACTCGAACGGGTGCAAAATTGCACAAATCCAGAACAAATTTGTTTGTTTGACCCGCCTTATCAGGTCGTGTGCAAGCCTTGGGGGCGAGTGGTTCGCAATTTATCAGACGATAGGCTGGGCAATTCGTTTTGCGCACGCGATTACTAGCCAACTCGCTGCACACGACCTACCCATCAGCTTATCAGCTGGCCACATTGCGTATACGCCGGGTGTACGTTGCGTATACGCCGTGTATCATGACTCAGGCCTCAGCCCAGAAGCACACCACCAAAAGGTGGTTTGCTTAACCAGTATTACAGATGAAAAGAGAAATATAATAAACCAAATTTCAGCACTTAGCGTTAGCTAAGCTTAACCCTTAAACTTTTTTCCCAAAAAATGGAAGCGTAAAGTTAGAATGCTTTAAAACAACCATAAATAGAACCATTATAACGGCTAAAAATTCGGCTAAAAATTAGTCTCCCAACAAAACGCTCTATAAATTAGGCCAACCAGGTAAAACTCAGCGTGAGTTTAACGAGCTGCTTGTGTAGCTCACTACAGAATAAAGTTTTTTGGCTAAACTTACCAAATTTATGAATATTGTTCATAAATCATAAACGCACATAAATTATTTGGAAGCGAAATAGTTTTTAAGCGTATGCAAATTGGAGCAGTTTTAAATGTAAACAGTTCCCAAAATATGTTGGTTATGAAACTTTAAGCAATTTGGTCTAATGAACAAGCTATACGAAATATTTAGGATACGTGTATGCAAAGTAGCAACAACACAATCATTTCATAATATGTTATAGGGATTTTTGATATGCTATGAACAAAAAGTAATACAAAAGACAAATAGATTTTAAGTTTTTCTGTTAAATCTTAACAGATACTGTTATAACTTATAAGCGGATATGTATCTTTAAATAGTATACTTTCAGACTGAAAAGTAACGCCCCTAACCAACTTATCCAAAAATCATTACTTTGCATACTTTTCAGATCAGTCACAAAAAATCCTCAGAAATACTTGTAATAAAATGCCTTGTTTATTCGCAAAGACACTCATAGTGAGTGTCGGGAAAGACTAAATGGATTAACATACATAAATAAAGACACAATGGTGCGCATATCGCTAGCATCACAAAAACGTAACAACGACAAATACTAGAGCACAAATTCATGATGTGATGACGACGTCGAACTGAACCGCTTAGTCCTTCAATTCGGCGGCCGCGTTGACAAACCCTGAAGTTTGGGTCAACTGCAGCTGGGCCTTTTCCTCGGCCTCCTGGGCCTTCTGCTCGGGTGTTTTGGCCCACTCCTGCAGTTCGCCGGAGCAGTAGAACCAATAGATGACGCAGCCGATCAGGTAAATGCCCGCCGAAATGAAGAAGATGATGCGCCACTCGTCGCTCGTCTGGTTGGTGACCACGTAACCGGTGAGCAGCGGACTCACGATGCCCGGAATGGTGGCAAACGTGTTGCCAATTCCCATCAGCACACTGGCATGCTGGGGCGCAATATCCAGGTGATTAACCCTGTGAATGAGGCACCCGAATGAATACCACATCTCGTTGAGATTCCACCCTGTCCAAGCAAACAAAACTCACGCAAATCCAGACCAGGCGAACGCTCCCAATCCCACGGCAATGGTCAGACTGACCACCGACCACGTGGGATCCAGCAGATAGGCCGTCAGCATCATGAACACCGTCTGGGCCAGGAAGGCTCCGCAGTTGAAGTTCCTCCTCACCTGGGTGGTAGTCCAAATGCCCTTCACCTGCAGCCAATCGGCCAAATAGCCGGACACGGCCAGCAGGATTCCCATGGCCAGGTAGGGCACGGCCGATAGGATGCCCGTTTTGCCCAGGTCGAAGTTGAGCGTATCTGAAACGGCAGGGGTAAATGTGATAAGTATACTTGCAAACAATTTTTATATTAGATTTTAAACATAAAGTTAAAATATTTAACAATTCTTTTTATGAAAAGAATATTTAAATTGAATATGAAAACATGATTAACATTTTATCTAATAGTTCAAAAATGTTATCATAGTTCAAAAATGTTCAAATGCAATACGAAATTTTTAATCAATTTATAATCAATAACAAAATAGTGGTAAAAAAATTTTAAATTCGGTTTTTTAAGAAACTATAAAACTATAGATCGCATGGAATAAAAATATTATTTATTTTTTATTTTAAATGGAAGCAATCTTTGAACCTATTTGTTTAAACGTTATAATACTTAGTGTAGTCAAATGTGCCAGAATGTATATAAATCATTTGAGAGTACTTTTTTCCACGAAAGGACTTACCTCTGAGGAAACTTGGCAGCTGGGTGAGTAGCGTGTAGAAGCCCCAGTTCTCCGAGAAGTGCGAGGCCATGATGGCATAGAAGGGCATGGATGTGAAGATGGATTTCCAGGGGTGCTTGATGTGCTTGCTTCCCACGTATCCAATGGTCTTTTGTATGTAATCGCATTCCTCCTTCGAGCAGAATCGATCCTGTTCAGGCCCGGCTCTGACGAAAATGAGCCAGGTGAGGTACCAGATCACGCCGATGGTGCCGAACACGTAGAACACGCTCTGCCAGCCGTATTTAGTGGCCAGATATCCGGAGCAGGGCATCGCAACCACAGTGCCGGCATAGTTGCCCGCAAAGGCTATCGAGGCCATTCGGGATCGCTCCAAGGGAGGAGACCAGCGGGCCCACACCGCATGGATTCCCGGGAAGGTGACGCCCTCGAAGAAGCCCTCGACGATGCGGATGAACAGAAACATCTCCAAACTGTGCGAGGCGGCCAGCGGAGTGAGCAGGGTCAGAATGGCAGTAGTACCAATTCCTGTCCCGAATACCTGGGATTTATATAAAAGAGTATTTAAAATATACGTGCTTTCATTACTTTGAAATAAATATAATAAATATAGGTTAAATTATAATCATGTACTTCCCATTTTAATGCTCTTTCACAATATTTTTGCTATAGGTTTTTTAATAGAAGAGCTTAATAAGTTTACAGCACAGATGATTTTTTGATTTCTATTTTAAAAGTTTAAGCAAATCTTTTTTTTAACTGCCAAAGTCACATACTAAATGATTTCGCTTATAAACTATTACTTCCAAAATTATTTAAATACAAACCTGTAATACAAACTTGTAATTAAAAATTGTTTTTAAACACGATTAATTCCCTATTTTAACTATTGACTGCTATCAAGCTATTAAATCTACAATTATGACTGCTAAAACGGTCTAAGCACGATAAAATTATACCTGCCAAACTCTTTTTAATGCAAATATATAGCTGTAATAACTTGATTAATCTGATGTTATTAGTTTTTTTTTAATATAACTAGATCCGAGCAAAGTACGTTAAGGTTCCAGTTTTAAGAACACTGTTTTGCATATAATCCAATGTAACTCACAATGTTGCCACCAATCTTGGTGCCAATGTAGCCGCCCAGGAACTGAGTCAGGATGTAG